TCAGACAATGACAAAAATCAATTTCAGATGCCAAGTCATACTACAACCATTTTTGTCAGTCAAGGCAAACTGAACTAGTTCTACAAATACCCATTCTTTAAAGAATTTTTAAAATAAAATATTAAGTAAAACAAAAGGGTACTGTCTGACAAAGTACGTATCTCACTTGAGATATAAATAATCATTAATTTTGTTTGTTTGCTTTTCCCTATTTGAACTACTGACTGGCTAACAGCCAATTTGTCAGATCAAAACAAAATGCATTTAATTTGGCAAGCTTCAGATGCTGGATTATGTGGAAGCTCTCACACTTTGTAAAATCAGTATCTCTTAGGATATTTGTTTAAAAAAGACCTTTGTTGCTTAACCTCTGAACTATGGCTTAGTTGTCTGCCTCCAGGCTGCATTTTCTATAAAATGCTCAGCCACTGTTTATTACAATCATTTGCCACTTCTGTGAATGAAATCTGAGATACAAATATCTACTATTACTTGGCAACAGCCATGTGGAGGGACATACCCCTCATTCAACAGGATCACTTCCAATATTTGTCCTCAGCAGTCTATAACCTTACTCCTTAAATCTGCAGGATGCTCTTATTTGGCCAACCCAATGTCTAGGATGTGGCAAAGGTCGTTAAGATGTTTCGCCATAATGTTCTTTGCAAAATGGATGCCCAAACTCACATACAGGCAGTGCCAGGTTCGGCAAGACTGCACCCAGAAACCCAAATATATTTTTTATGAAGAAGAAAAAAAGAAAAAAAAAAAGAAAAGAAAAAAGCAGCATACGAGACATTCATCCAAATTACTAAGTTTCCAGCCAACAATGGAGAAGAAATCTTGAACACATAAAAAAACCCACACAAAAAACCTTTACCTTTACTAATTTCCAGATCAACAGGATACTCAATATTCTTAATAAGCTTCTGGCATCCACCAGTCTTCTCATATACAAACCGCTTGAGGTGTAAAACAAGAACAGGGGGGAGTTCTTCTAGTGTCACTCTTCGACTGATCTCCACCTAACACATACATGGAACAAAGATGAAGAAAACCTGTGATTTTTTTTGTTAACTGCTCAAAATTACTCCTTTAAAAGAGGAATAAGTAGTTAATTTTAAATACACTAGCAGAAAAAACACAGATTTTTTAAAATTAATATTAATTTACGATAAACACTGCAGTTTATGCCTTAAAGCGCATGGGATCTTCAACCAAAGTGTCGTCTTAAAGGAGAACCCCAATACCTTTTAGTAGAATGTCACATGTTAGAACAAGCAGAGATATTTAGGTACTGCAGTACTAAAAGCACCTGGCTGGAGATCCCCCAGGAGAAACTCCTCATGGAAGTTTAGCAATTAATAATTCTTATTATACGCTAATCAAAGGTCAATAACTTGTAACACATGCTGCTGAATTCAGAGAACTCTGAACTGTAGACGACAACAGCACCACACCTCAGTACCTGAGGCAAAAGTTTTCATTTCTAAAAGCTGACACCTTTTTACAGAAAGCTGAATAGAAGGAAAAATAAGAACTAAACCAAATCACTTCTTCATTTTCAACAGGGAAATTAACTATAATCAAAAAAAGAATCTCTAGAAAACAAAGGCAAACTACTAAAAGTTTTTTGTGTGAACACCTAAATCTACATTTATCTTGAGAAATTTCACTGAATGCTCCAGAAATACTGATTGAAATGCAAAAGCGGTATTGCAACTACTTTGCTAAAAAGTTTGAACGCTGTGTCACTTCAGAGTGTCCCGAGTATACCACGCGATTCCCCACTGAAATACTAGTTTCTACAACAGACTTCTCCAGTTTTACCTGGTACTATCTTTATTCCCCCCTCCTCATCAAAAGAATCCTAAAACACTGTTGAAAAACACCTTCTCACAATGGTATCATTAAAGACCTATTCACAGGGGGATAACAACGATTAATATATTAAAAGATCCATACTGCAACAGTTCAAAAATGATTTTGCATTAATCAGAATACTTTTATCGTTCAAGAAGTTCCTTTGAAAACAAAGTGAGCTGTTACGTAGGCTATCTAAAAATTATTTAGCCATGATCAGCTGTTACAGAACAGATCAGTCATTGAAGACTTCTCTTTTTAAAAAGAGAAAGTATGCTGGGTTCTTGAAAAAGGTTCTGAAGAAAATTCAGAGAGAAAAATATGAGTTATAACCTGTTTGCTACTAAATCTTTATTTTTCAGTAGTTATAAACAAATAATCCACAAAGTTACTGTCTGAAAACCTGAAGCTGGACTCAGAATTGCAGAACAAAAATGTTTTGCCTTCCTAAAAACGATGACATAAAAACCCCCAGATCTCCAAATAACTGCTCTAGGCTTTTCTGAATGTTTTTTGAGAAAAATCTCTTTATTGTAAATCATCAGCATACTATTTTTCAATGCAGGGCCCAATTCTGCTAGAACCTACTAAGAGCAGAATAGAAACTCATGGGGAAAAACTATTACCTTTTTCCAAGCTTGAAAAGTAAAACCTCTTATGACGCTGAAGCAAGCAGATTGTGTAGGGTACTTGATTTCCTCGTGGATCTGAGCTGATCCAATTTACAAGAAGTAATTCTACATTTGAAACAGAAATAGTCTCTACAAACTGTAAAATTTCACCTGCATCTTAAGGGTTCAAAATATGCCGTTCTGCGTCCAAAACCCATCAAAGCCCTGGCAACAGCGGCAGCTTCACCGAGAACTGACGGGGTTTTCATGTGTTTTTGTTTGTTTTTAAACCAGCAAGGACCCTGTTCTTCTCCATCCAAGAAGTGCCTGCTGGTGCCCATCTCCTCAATTTCCAGGAAATAACATGCAGAATAAGAAGTTAGAAGGCAAAGGCTGAAGGTGACAAGAAGTTCACACAATTCTCTGATGAACTCATGAAACATGCATCTTCCATGCATCTTAGCATGGAATGGCTTCTGCTTTTAGGGAGCAAATCCAGAGAGGCTTTATATAAAGAAAAAACATGCACTTGATTCACCTGGTTATTGCATCTCAAGATTTTCCTGTACTGAGTCTTCTAAATCTCAAATCTGAAGTCTTTGAATTCAGAGTTTCGTGCAAAAAGAACGTAACAGCTCCCAGCCTGGGAACAGACGCTGCTGAAGAACGTCACTGCAGTGGTTTAAGCAGTTGCCATTCCCCATCCTCAGTAACCGAGCTGGCGTACGGGAACAGATGCCTGCACCTCAGCTGCGCGGCTCTGGATTAGCTTCAACCACAGATCAAAGCAGTTTTTTGTTATGGTGCCAGACTGAAGAGCAGCAGCTGAGAAACAGGCACATGTTCTGCTGTCCTGACTGTGGGAAGGGGCCCTGATTTCTGGCAGGGACACTACCAGCTAAAAGTGCCACAAATGTTTAATTAGTCAGCATGAGTCAGAGTCCCAAGAAAATACTTGTAAGATCCTCAAGGAGTAGTTTGAGGACTCCAGGAGATGCTAAGACTCCTTCTAAGGAGCATGTGGAAAGTAACCTAGAAAAGTAAATGAGGTAAGGCCAGATTGTTACTCAAGAATCTTCACTTTTGTTAGAAAACATGAGGTCTTAAATAGGAATAAGAGACTGAAAAGAAAATCACTTCAGCGAGGATAAAAATTAAGCCCATTAAAAAAAACAAACACTGTTGAAATATTGAAGATTTAATAAACTGATCTGCAAGACCAGAAGGAACCAAAACTTTCTTCAAATGCTCATGAGCAAGTGAAATTGAGTCAGAACCAGCAGGAGAATGCCACTCCATTTTAAACACCTATTTTCATTTAAAACGCATAGTTAGTTTAAACACGGCATGAAAATCTGGCTGATTTCCTGTTTATATTAATACATAAAATTCAAAATCAGCTCAAAGTGATTAAAAAACAAACTTTAAGAGAAATCATTCACATATATTTGGAAGATTATTCTTTTCATATCTATTGTTTATGCCCATAATTTGTAAAGAATACAACCCAGACTAAAACAATCAGAAGACAGTAATAATTTTTAATAATAGCATAATATGATTTTTATCAGTAGTCCTGAGCTGATAGCTTTATCAGTAGTCCTGAGCTGATAGCTTTATCAGTAGTCCTGAGTTCCCCTTCTGTAAAATGGAGATGAAATACTTCTTCGCAATACATTCTGAAAATTACTATCTGCAAAGTCCTATGCTTGTTCTATAGTCAATGTGTTCAGTGTTTTCACTACAATTTTAAGACACGAACAGCTCTTTCAACTTGAATTTCTTTTGAAAAAAAAAAATCTGAAAGACATGGGGAATGCTTGTATTTCCATTCAGACTCTAAAATATAAGCCAGACCAAACCTTCGGCATCTAATTTGAACACCCATTTCTTCCAAACCCCATAATAGAACACTGGGCTGTCAGTAAGAAGTTAAAACCATCTGCAGTAAAAACCAAAAAATGAATGACTAGCAAAACAAAATCTATGTGGTAAATCATGATGAGCTTGCATTGCAGATGTTTCTTTCACATAGAAGACAACAGGAGAAGTAAATGTTCTCTAACACTCCTACTGAGTATAAAAGGCAGACAAATTTCAGCTATCCATCTTTAGCTTTTCAGAGAAAATTGTCCATCCTTTCTTTACCTAACCATGTTCTCACTGGGAGTATTTAGAAAACTTACGGACACAGAAACGAATGTCAGAGAGAACATCTACAACTCAAGAGCCTCTTTCCATCCTGGCCTACTGAAAGAAGTTACGAACAGTGTACGCAAAATTTCCATCTGAGCAATCCATGTGCACCAGAGATGATGTTCTTTACTAATGCAGGCCATAAGAAGCATGGAAATACCTTCGTGGGGAAAAAGTTTAATTTATTACCCTATATCATAGAATCATAGAATCGTTAAGGTTGGAAAAGACCCTTAAGATCACTGAGTCCAATCGTTAACCCAGCACTGCCAAGCCCACCGCTAAACCATGTCCTGGAGCACCACATCTATCCGTCTTTTAAATACCTCCAGGGATGGAGACTCAACCACTTCCCTGGGCAGCCCGTTCCAATGCCTGACAGCCCTTTCGGGAAAGAAGTTTTTTCTAATATCCAACCTAAAATTCACAAGTTCTCAAACTGTAATGGCAAGAGTATGCTTTTCTTGCTATGAAGTACTTTTCTATTGCAATTGTTACTGTTGTTATGTATTGTATTATTTGAAAAATAAGATAAAAAAATTTGCAGAGCTGCATGAGAATACAGAATAAAATGTTCTGGTACTTGAAGTGACAGACAACCACAGGGCTTGCAGATCTCAAAAGGTCCTCCACCCTGAATCAATTATAACAATTTGTGTAAATCCTGACTGGTGTTTCTCCAACCTTCTCTTAAAGCAGCGAGGAAAACTCTACAAGCACCACGCGTAACACCTAGTCTAGGTCCCATTCCTATTTACTGTTTGAGTATCACTGAGAAAAATCAGTCTTTTCCTTTTCAGAGCAGCCTTTGACATATTTTTACATCTGATTCCATCTCTCTACTTCCATGTTTTTTCTTCTTGATGCTGAACAGCTCCTCCCCCTTATTCATTCCTTTTACATCACAACTTTTATACTGCCATTCATTTTGATTGCTCTTTTCTAGATATTCTCCAACGTTGAAGAACATTTTCCTCGAACTGACGACCTAAAACTGAATATAGTATTACTGACAAGTTGGGTTTTTTCAGGGCTGTGTGCAGCAAACCAGTCAACAAATGGAGATGTTACTGGCTATTGAAAGATTTCAGATTATTAATCCAGAGAGAAAGGTAGTGATCGTCTGATGTTTTACTGAGGTTCTAGGTGGGCTTCTACCAGGCCTACCACCAATGAATCTTTTCATTTTTAATTTGTAAGTTAAATGTGTAAATCAAAACCCATCGAGGATAACCACACAGACAACCGTGCAAGTGTTCTGCTACAAGAGTTTTCTTCTTAAAGCTAGAGCATGCTTTCAAACGATACTCTGAAGAGCTGCTCCTTTACTGAGAACATCTGGCAATCCCCAGGAACCAGTATGTTAAGATCAGCTAAAAGCTATTTTACTCATAATAGTAGGTATTATTACCACAGTTCACCCTGTTAATTTAATATACGCTCCAGTAAAATCTCCAACCAATTACTACACCAACTCAGAAAACATACCTATTTACAGGGATGGTTTTGTTTAAGAGTTAGTTCTCTTCCTTTCAGTTTATGTGTTCAAGTGGAATACGTTTTACTGCTGCAGGACACTTTGAAAAGGTTAGTACCTCTTTTGTTAACATAAGTAATACTGTTCAAGTAACTATTTGTAAAGCAAGAGCTGTATAAAAACCCTTTTAAAAAGTTTAATATTTGACTGTAAAAAGGGGTCAACAGAACACACCTCTTGCTTGGTTTTTGTGGTATAACCCTGGACAGACTCTCTTGCCACCAAACTTTCCAACGCATCCTGAACTGTGCGTATCTTGTCTGACTGGATATCCAGCTGCAGGGTGAAGAAAGGTTGCAGTGTAGCAGACTCCTTAGAACTCTGCTGGTAAACAACAGACCTATGGAAACAAAAAAGTTAAAATGTAATAAAGCAGAGTAATTTTCAACAATATAGAACCTTCAAGTAAGAACGGACTGAAGTCTACTTTAGTAACTCGCTTTACAGTTAATCCAAAACAAAACACAAATACAAAGGTTAAGCGTAAATTTCAACAACCTGAATCCATTTTACTGCAATTTAAATGATTTTCACATCCACTCAGAGCATACTGAATGGGATGATATTTGAATTGTTTTATTTATGCAAGGATTAAAACCGTTATTGGATAAGCATCAAAAGTTTAAGAGAAAAATACTGAAATTTTTGATAATGTGTTTAAAAAGATTTACCTCTGGACTCTTTCCACATTACAGTTTTGAAATTATGTTTTCCAACAAATCTTCGTAAGTGCAAAATACTAGTGCTTATCTAACTGTATGTTTTACTGTAAAAATTACAACTGACTCCAGATTCTCCAATAAAAATACACAAATTTTTAGTCACTTCACTAAGACCAATTTCACAGTGATTTTAAATTGTTTGCTTAAATCTCGCCATGGGAAATATAAACTCTGCTCCATCGAGGACTGGTATTTCCTTTTCCTCCCATCATTTTCTGTGTCCAGACTTTGTCCATGTACTCCTTTGTACATAAATTGGAGTCTTTTGGAAAACTGGCAGGAGTAACAACCTAGGGCATGAGAACGTTTCCTGTTTTTTTGGTTTTTATTTTCGTTTGAAGTGTATTCAGTTGCAGCCTTTAAGTAGCCTGGCTTGGTGATCATTGTTTTGTGCAATGAGACAGCGCGCTCTTCAGCCACAACATCACTGCGCTAAGTGGACTCTTCCTGATTTTCATTTTTCTTAAACTTCGCTGAAAACTTAAAACCATCAAACATGGCTCAAGAATTTATTTTTTTTTAAATTTTGAAAGCAGTACTTAAGAAGCCCCAGCTGCTACAAAAATGCGGTTTTATACAGCCAAAGAAATCATTCATTTATTATATTGTTATGCTTGTTACAGTGCCTTACAAAGCCTGAAAGTAGTAAGATAATTAACATAGCTCTAATCCATGTAGCCATGCTGAAATTTCTCCAAGTCATGTACGAAATGTTAACATACAAGTTTAATGCCTGTACTGCAAACTCCTATCAAAAGAGCCCCTTTGACTCAGGCAAAGCCCTGAAGCACCAACAGAAAGCCAATGCATCTTTATATTGGCAAATATATATCCTGCAGAGGAAAGAGAGCATATGAAAAACAGTAGCATCTTTATTTCAGTTTCACACTTCCTCCTTGGCTATATTTAAGGACAAAACCTTCAACACATGGCAAGCGCAGTGTTTCAACAAACAAACCCTTCACTGTGTAAGTCTTGCTGCTTTTGGATGCACTTCCCAAACCCTTTTTAAGCTAGTCATTATTTAGTGCAATAAGCAACAGAAAAATGCTAACAACTCCAACTGTTTTCAAGTCCATGTATTAAAGATTTAATTAATAATATGGATAATATTCTGAAAAGATAATGTTAAGGATGACTTTTTTTTTTTTTTTTTAACTTAGAAAATAAATTGTAACATTTCTTCAAAACGATAGGCAGAAATTGATTTGATAGCAAAACCTTTGCTGGACTATGATTTTCTGTAATAATATCACTTACTAGAATAATTATAAATTTCAGTTGGTCAAGGGAAAATGCATCATTTTCAATGAATAATTACTCTCGGGTACTGTAAGAACTCTACAGTTAAGAATTTTTCAGGAAAACGGGCACTGCATTGCTACCCTGCTTAAACTACAACAATGTAACTAACTGATGTATTTTCTTTTAAAATAACAGTGCATTTGAAGGGAAAAGTTGGTACTACTACGGAAATATTTAGCAGGCTTCTAACTGGCTTGTGAGCTAGCTTGCATAACAATTGTTTGAAATTCACACAAGCTGAAAGTCAAAAGGGATTCCTGCACATCAACAAACCAGGTCCTGATAGAACTGGCTATCTTTGTACTTGCACATTTAAGTCTCACATTGCTTAAGGAAGACTTTTTTGTTTCGGTTCTAAAAAAGTAATTATGCCTAAAGAGGCATTTAATGGACAATTAAAGCCTCAAGAGGACAGCCTAAAGTTTCCCAAACCAAAAGATGCCAATTCAAACCACGTTTTCCTAGCTGCTTTTTCCATTTCATTTTTCCCATTTCTGATGCTTTCATTTAGCGGAATTCTACTGGCAATTCTGTATTCAATCCTTCCTATCTCCACCCTCAGCCTCAGAGGATGAAACTTTCCAACATCACAACATGGGATGCTGTTTCCGCAGTGAATTGTGTGACCTGCTTTGGAAGCTAAATAAAGTGAATGTCGTGACAGCAGACAACAGACGTCGTGTTGGACCCTGTGGTTCTGTTGCTCAGTGCAAGTTTTTGCCTTTCTTCACTATTACCTTTGCTTTATGTCATTTTCTGTGGACTTCTGTAGAAGACAGCATTCTCTTGGTATTCTTAACTTAGAAACTAATGGAATTATGTAGCAATCTAAACAATTCTGACCATGATAAATATACTGAGGGTATTAACAATACCTTGGGTATGTGAGCACACCATCAAAGCGGAATTTCATCAATACATACAAACATCTGTCTGCCAATTTCTATGGAAAATATCACTTTATTTGCCAGCTGTCTGACTCAAATCCCAGAAGAATAATTTCAGTGCATTTCACAGGCAGAAGGCACTAGCCCACATTATTCACACCTCTAGACTGAATACCTGGCAACACAGGGAGTCAAACACTAGCAATTAAGTGTCTGTCTACAATTTAAAAATAATTCTTCAAGTCTAGCATTTTTGTTTTGGCATATGTTTTTAGCAAGTGTTTACCTTGCTTTCATTTTAAATTATACATTTCTCCAAACAACTCATGAGGCTTCCTTCCAAAAAATATTCTTTCAGTATCTACTTTCTGCCTTCATCTGGTATCAGACCTGAATATAAGTAATGTCCCACATTCTTTTCATTCCTGTAACATCTTGTAGTAATTTACATTTTTCCAAACTTCTTTTGCCTTTAACATTTTATTTATTAACAGTTCCACTTAACTTTCCTGCCTCTGGGAAGTATAAGTGTCTAAACAACTAAAAGTCTACAATTTTTTATGTTATTTCATTCTTCGTTTACTGACCAGATTTAACTCTTAGCAAATCTCACTATCCCTTAGTATCCTTATATACAAAATGAGTCAAGACTCCTCAGAGTTCACAAAAATTAGGTAGCGCTAAAGTTCTTTGGAATTCTTAGACATTAATATAAATATACAAAGCATACATATTTCAAAACTCCTCTATTTGCAATTCAGGGCTTTTGTTGTCTAAACGGTCTGGTTTTTTAAGACACTTAAGATTCAGACTCTACAATAAGTCATAGAATCATTTGATCATTGATCAATCTTTTGATCATTCTGGTCCATCTTCTGAACCCTCTCTTGCATAACAAATGCTTCAGAGTAGAATGTTCACCTCTCCTAGCCTGAACAAACTGTGTAATAGTCTCTTCCATCCAACTATCCAATAACGGTGAAAAATACAAAAAGCAAAGCAGAGGAAAAACTTATTTGTAAAGGCAAAGCAGCCTGCGGTCTCAATAACTTTTATGGAAAAGTACTATACCTTATATGACCACCAAAAATATCAGTAATGGGAGTCTGAACAAAGTCAGCCTGGCGAGTGACCGATGATTTGTTGCGAGGTCCCACTTGCTCCCATTCATCCTCACTGCCTTCCCCTTGTTCATCTTGCTCCTCTTCTTCATGAACAGTCTGAGCCTCAGGGCCATTGGACACTGAGAGTTCTTAAAGTGAAGAAGGAAAAAAAGCGCGTTGATTTTTTTTTTTTTACATATGAAACATGTATACAGATAAAGAATTTGAAAGGGAAAAAAAAACACAATACAAATAATTTTCAGAGGATAAAATGTTTTCGTCGATCATAGATTCGAGAACATAAATGAGAGCAAGTGCATTCCAGGCTCACTCACAGCTGGACACAGCCATGTATTAACAGAATGCAGCTCACTGATGACTGTATGTAAACAGATGTAGTTTTCTAGCAAAGTTTGATATATTTTTAGTAGTAAATTTATGGTGTAGAAAATTAGAAAGTCAAGTGTTATTCTGGAAACATAATTATGCCATTATTAAATACAACTCCTTTTCTGCACAGATATTTTACAGGGAACCCAAGGCTTAGCAAATATTTTCTTTCCAAGTGCCAAAGTCAGGAGGCTATAAACTGCACACAGGCAAAGAACAAAATACGGAATGATCATTTTATATCATAAATTTACCCTACTAAAGAGAAATTCGATAACTAGTGATCTTAATTCTGTACTTGGCTAAGACTAACAGTGTTTTGTTTCATTTTTCATAGGGGACCCAAACATAAAGCCAGTGTAAAATAAAATGGCATTTTAGTCTGCATACAAATTCTAATACTTCTTCCAAAGAAAATTTTTCTCCAACTTTGTCAATAAGAATTTTAAAACAATTTAATATGTTCCGGTTTACATTAGATATAAATTAGCCATTAGTCTCGAAGTTTCCACTTCGAAAAAAGATCTTAATCAACAGCGGTTTAAAGATCAGTGAAATACACACGGATATATTTTTGAACTACCATGGAGAGAGCCAGAACCCCAGTGAACAACTGGCATTGCAGGTATTATGAATGGCAGACAAACACACCTACACTTAAGACTAGTCAACTTGAGTTAGCCTCAAATAATGCTCAGTTAATCTCAGTAAAAACTTGTAATACAGAAGTTTGTTGTTTAGAAGAATTGGGTACGTGATGTTATTATTGTCATTCAGAATATTTATAGAACGATAATGCTTTTCCAAATACCCAGTAACGCTTCAGATCATTTGTAAATTGGACAGAATGGAATAATTGTATCCTTTGGGCAGATTTTAACAAAAGATTATTTGTTAATGTCTTTGAGACCCCTAAAACATGGCATTCTATCCCTATCTCAACATCTACTCCAAACATTTCTCTGTATTACAGAATCACCACAAAAAAAGGAGAATATTTGAAAGAAATTAAGTTTGCTACAAAACAAACAAACAAAGAACACCACTAACTTTCATTATGTGGAGAGAGAAGTTTCTTTAGGGTCAGCATTTCTTCATGTAATCCATTGAGGATAAATCCCAAGTATTCTTCAGCATCTTCTTGCCTGCCCTGAATAAATTGTTCTTTTCAATTATTGCATGGCATTTTCATGTTTGCATTTTAACAGAACATTCATGACATTGAACATCTAGCTTTCTCCTATTAATTTAGCTAATTTACCAACTACTCAGTCTAAGTTGTAAAGTCAAATAAAGTTTAAGTTTTACTATAACAACCCCTCATTTTTAACCAGTTCAAAAACAACCTACACATTAATTGTTAACCTGCCATAAACAGCAAGTACACACGTAAGCTTGACCTGGATACAAGAATTTCTGCATTCTTCTCAATACAAATTCGATTTAACATGCGAGTTGATGATTTTTTTTCTATTTTTTTTTAAAAGTAGTATTAAAAGCTGCTGTCAAACCGATGCCAAATCAAAAGATGGTTTGAACCATTGTCTTTTCTTTAAATTGAAACTAAACCTGAAACAGTATTTTGCAGTCTCTGTGGACATTCAAGCATTCCAAGCTGAATCCCAAGCAGAAACGAACAACTGCTCATTTCTCAAATATAAATCAATAGGTATCTTCTTTATAAAGAGATGTTCCATTCCAATCGTAATTTTTTCATTATTCTGACATATCAAACTGCCAAACTTAAAATGAACATCTTCCTGTAATTTAAGTCCCAGGACAGTCTAGCTTCATAATAATGAACTATCAACTAGTTGATTTCAGTAATATTTAGGCACAGAACCTGATGTATGGCTTTACATCATTGTTTTAACGACAGTGACTGCCTTGCAATGCAATGACAGAAGTCAAAGATTTGTAAGTCGCACCTTTTCTGACAGACTTGACTTTATAACTGTCAAAAGTCTATAAATGTATGTAGGTTCAAAGGCAGCTCCTGGTCGGATGTCTCTCACAATTTTATCACCTAAAGCTGCAAGGCAAAGAGAAGTACATATAAATAACAACATTTAGGAGGTTTTCTACATTATACTTTAACATCCTCTTCAAACATCGCTAGATTTTGGAATCCAAAATTGTTTTTTATTAATAGTTTTATTACAATTTTAGTGACTCAAGCTCAGAATTCCTCAGATATGACTCTTATCTGTAAACATTTTTTTTAAAACATCTTACATCACCCTATACAGACTTACAGATGATCTGGAAAAGTTAGTAATCTCATTTTACAGTCAACACTCTGGAGAGTAACAAGAATATCCACAGCCATCACAAAAGAACAATTCTAGTTCTATTTAAATTTTTGTACTACTTTTGTATTCAAAAGAACACTTCCTTAAATCTTTTATATATTTGTAATTCTAATAGATCACTTTCCTCACTGCAGAAAAAAAAAACACAAACCAGATACAGTTTGACAGAATGTTCAAGCTAAAGGCAATACAAGGCCTCAGAAACCGTATTTCAAAACTACACAATACAATAAAATGACCTAGAAGTATAATAAGTTGCATAAGACAGTAAGATTTGTTTTACAGAAATAAAACTTAAGCAGCAAACCACAGAAATGTCTGAACTGTTTGGAAATCACTGGAACAACCAGTTCCTAGTGATCTTTTCTTATAATGTTACATAAACACATTCCTGAAACTGGTTTTTTTTTTATTTCTATAAGTTTGTAATACAACAAGTTTGCTTCAGCGATTAAAAAAGTGAAACAAGATCTTTTTTTTGCATCACAAAAATGTTCTGTTCCTCACCACGTAATCATCATTGATCCTCAACATGTATTAGCAAGAATCATACACTTCTAAAAGTTTTCACACTGAAACAGTGCATAGGATGGGGAGGAATTAAAAGCCACGATAACATGCCTGCAGGCAATCTCTAACTGCTAAAGAGCCCTATCATGGCCCCATTTTGTTCCAAATGAATGCGAGTGTTTAAGGAAGAATGATAGAATTGAGCAGGTTGATAAACCAAACAGCCTGAAATATGTAAGGAAGGAAGCGGAGTAAAATACAGTGAATATCAAAGGAGTTTGTTAGAAAGGGCATGTTCTGAGGAGACATCTTAACAATTAAGCTAACCTTCAACTAAAACTATTCTTACTGCACTTGTACATTTGGTCTACCAAATAGAAGAAAAAAAGTAAGGTGCAACACCTATGACTTCCTGACATGAATCACCGATCAGAAAAAGCGTAACACTGACAGAAAAGCAACAGCAACTTTTTAAGATATCAAGAAAACCCCAAAGTCCAAAGAGCCATGAAGGAGATCAAGCACCGTTATTTAAGGGTCTTAAGTACATCACACAATGCGGATCCTTACCCCAAAGCCTTCTCATGATTTTAAGACTTGTCTCTCCCTATTCCTACTCACCTTGTTTTGCTTTAGGAGGTACAGGCATATTAGTGAACTCATTCATTAAACGAACACTGAAACAGAATGGAAGGAACAACTAGACATGAGCAGCAAGTTAAGACTTAGAAGGACAAATAATAAAATTAGATCATTCTCATTATTGACTGCCAAAAAAAAAAAAATAATCAAAGAATATCATAACGAAGTCTGAGTGAAGTTCAGACATCAAAATTAACCTGATCATTGCTAATGAAACCAGGGGTTAGTTAGCTCTTGCAGCTCTCACAGCTCATTTTTGCATATTAAACACTATTTAAAACTGATACTCCTCAGGCAACAGGAAGTATCTTCCTTGACCATTCAAGCAATTGTAAAATACCAAGCTCGTTATAAAAGCTATATATCACCAAAAAACACACAAAAAAAGACTTCTGGATACATATCAGCTTTCAAAAATTGCAGTAAACAATCATCTGTTAGATACTTCTGAATGAGCTTAGTCAGATCACAGATTTTTTTTTTTTTTTTATACAAGCTACTTACAAACTGTCTATCATTGGTGTTGAGGTACACGGCCGCTGTGATTTTGAATACATTGGAATGGACTTCATTAAATGATACATTGGAGGGCAAGCAACCAAGGCTTGCAGGGTCTATGCAGTGGCATTAAGGAAATATTCAGAAAATGTAATCTGCATATTAACCAAATATTCAAAGATAGACTTTTATCACAACATTAAGTAATAATGTACAGAAGTTATACTAAAAAAAACCCGGCATCTTGTAACGTGCAGTGATTTCACTGACATTTTAACAACGTCAAAAACTTTAATTGAAGGGGAAGGAAACATTTAGTCTAAGAGCAGGAGCTGAAAAGAACTTTCGTAGGAAAGACTTTTTAAAATTAATTTGAAAATTGGCAAGTGATAACCTGTAACATATTTTCTGAAAAGAATGGAAGAAGCCAGCTGACAGACTTTAACTTAAAGGTGATGATTCACCCCCATAACCAAACCAAAAAATCCTGCTGTGATGTGAAACATTCTGCAGTGTAAAGAAGAGTCTGGAGTAACCAGTAAAACTACAGTGAATGTTGGGAGAAAATACTTTAAAAACAGCAAAATCCATGCTACCTGGCAAGAACAGTGAACGGAGGAAATTTGTTAAAAGCCTGGAGGGGCAGGGAAATGACAAGAAAGGCAGCGATCTCAAGAGCTACAGAGATGTATTAACTTGATTCCTATCATGTGCAAATATTGAGTAACAAATTCCCATGTAACATTTTAAGACTGAAAAAACGGGAGCTAATACATACAATCAGGTGAGTGCAGAACTGGTTATGTAAGATAAAAGCTGATGTTTAAAGCAGAATCACTGGTCTGAAAATAGGTTAGTAGGTTCTACAATGATCAGTCTTGAAATTAGTCTTAATATTTTTCCCTAGCAGTACTAGCAGTTAAAATAAAAGCATCCCAATTGTCACTTGCAGTGAGCCATTGCTAACATAAGAGATACAGATATATTAATTAAAAAATTATTAATAAAACTATCATAATACAGCACTGAAGAAGGAAGATTTCTGCTACCCAAGGTAAAAGTTACTTTTGCAGGGGAATACAATTCTTATACATTAAAAGCGAGCTAATCTTCCATCCCGTTGCAAAAGGATTATTTTAAACACTGCATTTACAGAGATGATATGATAGCGACAGCCTGCTCAACAGAAATCCCAATGATCCGCTTACCAAATTGCCAAAACAAAGCCTAAGAGTAAGAATAATTACTTCAAGTACAAAACAGAAATAACCACTTAAGCTGATGCACAAACAGTCATGAGTAAACATAACTAGAAATTACAAGAAGGTTTTCAGTCGAGAGAAAGTTACAGTTCTGAAATATTTTGACAGAGCTAAGAGACAAATTGCAAACAGGATTGTGCAACCAGCTGCAGGGGAACCCTGGACGCAAGGTTCAATGATCCAAAACACCCCTGGATTTCTAGATGCTACCCTTAAACATTTTAACCACGGTAGTAGGATACGCGAAGACAAAAACTTTTACAAAATACTTACCAGAATAATCCAGAAAAACTTGGACAGATAAAATATACAAATTTTAACTTAAGTGTATTAATTTTTTCCAAGGTAAGGATACAGCATTGATGTAGCACCAGTTTCCTTTGTTGATCAGCCCTCGCGGTTGCAAAGACACTGGTTTATGTATTAGTCTTACATTTTCCAGTATTTCTGCAGAATGAGAAACAGTAAATTGAGCATCAACAAAACGCACACGTTAGCCATCAAAACAAATATCTGTTGACGCATTACAAAATAATTCAAATCTATTAACAAGATTCCCAGAAACTTCAGCAAATCATTTTCACTCCATTTGAACACCGCTCATATTTCAAATCAGACATATTTCTTCAACTAAAGACATCCTGGAATTTGGGTCAGGAGGATGCTGGTACAAAAACTAACCATTGTCATTTCAAAACTGAGAAGACCTATTCGGTTTTATTTTTGTTTTACTAAAATTAGCTACTTTTATTTATATAGATACATATATAGGCATGAGTTCCGATTAGCAGTAATCCCTTGCCACCAATTTTATGAAGTATTTCCCAAATTCTTCTGCTTTGAAGAGACATGAAGCTGACAGAGACTCAGTTTACTAGCTTCAAGATACACTATCTTACAACAAAAATATCTTAGTGCAAACAGGACAGACAGATGGTAACGTGGTCTTCTGAACAGTATGTTTTATTTACTGCTTTAAGACTTCCAAAATCTACAAGATAACAGGCTTATATAATATCATGCCTACTGTTTTCCTGCTTTCAAAAACTTCAGCAATGGCCCAAGTTTAAAAATTAGAAACCACTGCACATAAATCAGTCTGTTTCAGTTATGAACCTGAGAGCAACGGGGGGAGTTTTTCCAGGAAGACTGGCCTGTTATTTAGGTACCTAAATAAAAACGGTTTAAGGAAAACACTGGATCTAGTGTATTTTAAACTTGCAAAATAAGGACAAGAGGTATACAAGACAAAATTAAAAAATGCAAATAAACATAGCAATTGTCTACCAAGGGGGTTATTTATTTTTATAATAAATGTGAGGGCCTCTAAAGCCCTTATATGCTACACTGCATAAACATGAGAGTTTGAGCTATTCACTAGAAGGACTACCTGAACAGACAAGACAACGTGACACAGGCGGAAAAGCAGAGGCACAAAGCCATCACTGCGCAGAGGAGGTGGCAGAATTGCAAACACAATCCATGTCCTCCTACTTCCAAACTATTTCTTTACCTGTAAGACCATACCTCCTGCTGACAACACCTGTTCTAACCAAATAAAGACATGCCATAAAATAGAAAATATTTAAGTCAGTCCTCTATTACATAAAAAGCCTGACACTTGAAAGGACAGATAGCAAAAAGATGTAAAAGGGAGGGTGTTAGCACCTAGCACAGATGCAGATGAAAATCCTTCTGCAAGTGTTGAAATATATTTGTTATTAAATCATTAATGCTCAAGTATTTCAGAATATATTGTTAATGCAGCAAAGTTTGAAATGTGTTGTGCACACATACAACCCTTCTGTTAATATAACTAAGCATTGTTGAAAATTAGGATAAAAATAATGAAATAAGTATTTATATTTAATGTCCATCAATAACTTTTTGTTAACTGTATTTTTCCCCATTTTTCTATCAGACTAAATAAAAATATTATTAGGAACTTTAGCATCCTCTTGTGGTCATAAAACTGCTTTGTAAACAATGTCTAGAGCAATTACAGTGAGCTTTGTTTCTTTTAACACAAAGAATTATTTTTGTGTACAGCAATTACATTCAACACCACATTTTCACCTCATATCCAACATTTACACAATAACTAAAAGAACTTTTACAAAAGTATCAGAAGAAAAACATACTTACAACCATGAGAAAACCTTCTTAAAACTTCAAAACCTGTTATAAAGCACAGGTCACTAACCAGAAAGAATTCACGTTCCCTTTGGTGGATAACGAATTGTGAAAATTGATTTGAAAACATATCTAGAACAATACTACGTTCAGAAATTTCTGTTGGTAAACAGAAAACATTTTGCTGAAGTTCATTCACTAGGTGGTGTTAGTACAAGTACCTGCCAGATTTAAAAAAAAAAAAAACAAAACCAAAACCAACAAACTGTAATTCCCTAATCCATGCAAATCCAAAGTTTAACGAAAGAGAAACCATGTGGATATGGTCTCCATGCTGAAAAAATACACGCGTTACAAGGTAGCAATTTAATCTTTCCTTAGACCGTTATTTAGCAAATATTATGTATGTCACTCAGCTCTCTCTTCAAATCTGGACAATGACAAAAGTGCCAGGACAGCCCTGCTGGATAACCCTACGCGAAATCAGTTCCTGCAAGAATGCAGTTCGTAGTACAACAGGCTAAATTGTTGTTCAGAAAAACCCCCAAACCTTCCATGCCTCCATTCCACAACTAGTTGCTTACCTAGCTTTACCAATAAGAAAAAATTTTTGACTACGTAACATTGAAACAGCTTTTTTTACAAATTAAACTAAGTAATTCTTGTCTTGTTCACTACAGTCTTGGGAGAGCAGTAAATTGCCATCATCTTTATGAATTTGTTTTACCTATTTGAAGTTACATCTGTGAACACTCCAATAATCTCATCTGAGACAAAGTAAAACCAAATTTTCCATGTTTGCCAAAAGAGTACGGTTTTCAAATCTTACTTCTGTTTCCTCTGCTGCACTATTACATCTTCCTTGAGAGGTAATGCCCAAAGACTGGCATTTTCATCAAGTCCTCAACAGCAACTACAGAATCATACTTATATTCCATCTTTTCCATGTAAATTGCTATTAACGCACAGTGGAAATAAAACTTAGTCATCTACAGCTTTAGTAAGGACATTTATCAACTCCCTACAACTTCCAGATCCTTTTATTCTCTAGTACTATTACCAACCACTTGTTTTTCATACTGTGTGCTTGCATTTGATTTCTGTTCTGGTGTATCCTTCTATACTTGCATTTATTGGATTCCCCTCCTACTAATTTGAAATCATTCCAGCTTTAGTCAGTTCTTAAATGTTTGTGTTCTTCAATTCACCTGAAATTCTGCCTGCTGTAAGCAAATTTTACATGCACTGTTAATTCCATCATCCACAATGAAAACACTGCAACAAAACGATTCAGAAAATCTTTTTAGATTCTCCCGTTCAAATCTTTTCCGAAGTCACCAAGAACAGTTAAAAGACTAGAACAGCTAGTTTTCCAATCACTGATTTCCCTAGGTTACTTAGAACATTATATAAGGCATTATTACTACCATCAGGGTATGCGTCAGAGGGTAGTAACTGCGAAACACAGCAAGCGAAGCCTAAGAGTCATATTTTTTACAAATACAGACCATTTATAACCTTACTATCCCCTAGAAACGAATTATTAAGATGTTTGTCCTAGCATCTAAATTAGGCTACGGTGTGTAATTAGTACGGTTGTCCCTTTCTAAATATGCAAGCGCTGTACCTGTACTTCCCTACCATTCTGATGTTATCTGCCTGGAGTTTTGCCAAATAAACACCAACGGGGCACAGTTTGCTTCAGAAGTTCCTTTAACTTGCTCACTAGTGTTGCCAGTAAAGCTTCTCACCACACACCTTAGCCACTTGCTAAAATTAACTCTTCAGTATTTTTTTTCTCATCAAGGTTAACAGGTAATGTGTTTGTCTGTTTTATTTATTTTCTAGTCCTGATCTTCATCTCTTTAGCTTTTGTAGCTTTCGTTTACATTTGAGGACTAAGAAACCCCAGACCTTTGCAGGCTGAATCAAGTAGCATTAAACTATCTTCAAGGTGCCTGTGAATCACTAACCTCCCTTGTAATAACGGGTGAAATTAAGACACAAACCAGCAATTTGTCCCTGGAAAAGTAACTTACCTTCTTGTGTCCTGAGCACACGTTCTAAATAAAAACTGTACAGAAGGGCCTCCGAGCTCCAACGTTAAGTCAAAAGACTTGCTAATTTTGCTTGCTAAACTCGAGATACTTTAGGTCTAGATTTTGCCTGTGTTTAGCACCCTATGGCACTTGTGGTCAAAAATTCATTCCCATTGGCATGAGTTGAAACCGGTGAATTCCCAGCAAATCAAACAACGGGATCTCAACTCAGCCGCAAAGAAAACAAGGAACACAATCAGCAGCTAACTATGAAAAACATACAGGATTGCTATATACCCTTATACAATGATGTTAACCTAGGCAGAAGATTTGAAATGAAATACATATGGAAAGGAACAAATGATCTGTCCAGAAATCATAAATTGAAACTCGGGTAACATATTTTTGAGTGTGGGTATACGAACAAAGCACTAATGTACCCATTTCCCAAGCAGGACAGAGAATATTAAAAAAAGAACAGACAATGAGGAAAGTCGCCTTTTTCCACAGAGCAAAGCACCGATACCATGGCATTCAGCTCTTCAAGCAAACGTTTCATACCCCAATCAGCAGCATCTGAATTAACAGGAATTGCAGCAGTGTAACTCCTACCTAAATCGGCTGCAAGGAGAAGATGAATTCTTTTCCACTGGAAAAGGAACTATACTCAGATTATTCCTCTGCAAAAACAGCTAGCTAATAGTGAAGGTGCAGAAGAAAACTGTATAAAAATTATACTGCTATTTTAATACATTAAAGACAAAATAAAAAGCTCTGCTCCCACCTGGTGGCAAAAAATAGTACAGAAACAGTAGAAGTCTAAAAAGTTAACTTAAAGCTGAAGCAAATTCAACAAAAAACCTTTTCATCTATGGCAAGCAGTTCTAGCTTTACAGTTGTCACAAAATAGTTTTCAGTTAGAATTCATTACCGAATGATAGCTTAAGATTTTAAGAGCACAACATACTCCACATGTGTGGGTTCACAGAAACCATAATCACCTGCTTATACACATTTTTTTTTAACATGGTCAACTGCGTTTGTGACACCTAAGTGAAAAATACACAGAAATATAAATTATTCTGACAGCTTTCCTCTCCACAGACAATTTTAAGTAATGAAACCGTCATTAAGGAGGGGATGAGAGGCAGACTTGTACTTCAGGGTATTTTCTGAATAGAAATCTCCAGGTCAGCTTCTGGTTAGAGCAGAAAACTTTTGAGTTGAAGCTGTCACACACGAAACGCCACTGTACTTGTAAATTAGCCTGTAGCATAAATAGCAAGATTTTGCACAAGCCTTTTTACATACAGACTATTTCACAGATTTAAAATAATTATTTTTGTTCCAACACTCATAAGTCAGTGACAGAAAATGCAACCAACTGGGTATTTTTCTTCATATTTTCTGACTGAATCTGCAAAACGAATCTCATGCACGTTCTAGCATTTCTCATTGGAACCACAAATATGACAGGACCAACGGTCAAAGCCTTTTATCACGCCTTGACTTCCCTGAGGTACCCTCTGGAGAGTTTCTTCTGGTTATTCTTGGAACAGGCAATAGCTAGCATTGTTACTGAATAAAATAATATTGTTTATAATGGTTACGGATAATTCTTCGAAATTTGAAAGACAGACCTCTCAAACAGTAAATCAATAAATACAAAAACTATTTCCTGAATTAGAATATATGAAGCAGGATCTATTTAAACGTTACACTTAAGCTACTGTAAGGGTCTAGGAATTTCAGCTACTTTGGCATAAATACATTAATACTCTTCTTGTAATGGAACGCATTACAAGATTATAAATACTAGATAATATAGCACACCATTTTCAGAATAAACTTTTCTAATGTGTTCTCCCTACTACAGTAACACACAGCTGAATTCAACCAGCCTACTTAAAATCACAAATCACTTAAACACATTGTTTGACAAGTAGCAATAGTTTTACCACATCTGGGATGATGACATGGTAATATCTCATTGGAAAGTTTACTCAGGGGGATACAAAAGTAGCTTATTTAAATTACATCTTTCATAGCAGTGTTTGAACGGTCATCTTATTAAGAACAGTAACAGAGGAATCTTCTCTACCAATAGTGCACGCTCCTGTTTACAAGCAGAGTTAATACCCTTCCAGTGTAACATCCACTCGTGTGTATTAACTATACCTGCAATCTTTATGGCTACAGGATCCTCTGAAACTGGAACAGGTCCCTCTTTGACTTCAACCTGTTTTTCAGGGACCAGAGGAGATGTGGCAGGAGGGGTATACTTAGTCTCAACATAGACCACAGATGTGGAAGCAGAGGGCTTGGAATTGTGAAAAAGACTAGCCCACGATTTTGCAGGCTGATTAACAGGGACTGATCCTGCAACCGGGACTGTTGCCTCAGTAGTAGGTGAAGCTTCCTCAGGCTTAGCTTGGTCTGAGTCAGTGCTTTCCACAGTGTGCAATTCTACCCCATTGGCAGCTGTGTCCTCACCAGAGGATTCAAGTGTTTGTCCATTAGTAACGCCAAGATTTTCAGTAGTATCAGTACCAGCATAAGACTGTACAACAGCTGTCCTTAAAGGGCTATCTCTGCCAGTCTCTGAGGGGATGCAAAACTGTTCAGAATTAGTAACACGGCATACCTCAGGCTGCCCTGCAGTCCTGGTATTGTCTAGTGCGCTAGAAACAGAATCATCAGAGACAGCTTCGTTAATGAAGTCCACAGAATTGTCCGGGCTGTTGCAAGTCCTTGGTGTGGCCAGGGAGGGTATGTCTCCCGTCAGTTCCGTATCCTCCGTGCTTATACTGTTTAGTCCCGATGAATTTGCATGGCCATTTACAAGAGCTTCTGGGGGAGCAATGCCGTCGCTGACATCTTCTAAGTAACTGTAGTATCCAGGAGGTCTTTTTTTCTTCTTTTTACGCTCCCTTTGTCCAAGGCCTCCAGACAAGCCATCATTTTCAGCATTAGAACCGCTGTCCAAAGCGAGGGTTGGATCAGTGAACTGGCAGTCAATGGAGTTGTAGTTTGTTTCACTGAGGCTATCATCAGGGGCTTTCTGAGTAGGTGCACAACTGAGAATGAATTCTGGAGCCTGAGGATTCAGAGTACTTGAAATACTGTAGTCGGTGTTATTTAATACAGATGACTGTGTCTCAATAACTTCATTAACACCAAATTCAATTCTCTGATACTCTTCCCCTGGACAAGAGAAAGCAGACCTGAGTTAGTGAATGATGTCTAATCAAACAAAAAGTCAAGGAAAAAAAAAAAACGTATCTTCCTGCCACTCGGAAAACAAACTACATTTCCTCAAACTAAAATAATTCTTATTCTCTATCTCAATCCTGAAGGCCATTTCAAAACAACATATTCCTAAAGACAACAGAGTATGATTAAGGTTTTCTTAAATAGAGTATGAAATTTTCCAAATCACTGCACAGTTCCTGCAAATAACATCTATTCAATTCACCTGTTGAGAAAAACTATTAAAGCCCAATGACTTTAGCAATATTCTGCATCAAGTTAATTACTGGATAATTGCATTTAAAATATGGTGCAATATTTAACTCCACATTTCTTCTAAAGCCAGTCTTTTCCACTGACAATTACAAAATCCAAGCCTTTACCTGTTAAACTTTTAAAAATAATTTCCACATGTGGAGTTTTGTTTTCGGGGGGTGGGTTTGGTTTGTTTTTCCTGGTGTGTAAAGATTTCTCACAATCCTTAATAACTGAAAACGAGTTTCTTAATCGTATGGAAACACTGCAATTGCAGCTTTTGAAACTCTAGGCTCATCAATATCTATTTTATCAGTTTAATTTATTACTATATGAGAATATGATATATACGACTGATTTTATGACAAGAAACACAACAGATACACCTCAACATAAGTCAGTGTTCAACTTGTAGATACAAGCAGTACTGAAAAATTTGTGAACAGGACTGGGTTTGCTTTTTTTGTTTTGTTTTGGGTTGGTTTTTGTTGGGTTTTCTCTTTATTTGTTTATTTATTTACTCTGGGACTTTGACATGCTCTTTAAAGAAATGCTAAGCCAGCTAATGCAGGCTGCAGTATCACAAAATATTGTCAGTCACAAAGTAGTGCAATTTCATGGAACTTAATTAGTGCATGCGTGCTAACTAGTAACACTGAATACTTTAGTTACAACTATTTCCATAACTATCAAATAAAGAGATAATATTAATGAAACAGTCTCAGGAATGTTAAAGGTAAGCTCACATTTTAGTACTTAAAAGTTTTGGAGGTCTTTCTATGATATGTATGCTACTGTTTCAAAGACACCGATTTTAACATTTTTTGTTTCCTCAAAGATGGGGGACTAAAAAACACATTACAATTTTTTAAGATTGTTACTAGAGAACCAAACAACACTAGATACTATTTCCAAAGGAATATAAGTGGATACACCACTAAACTTTAAAGACTTTGTGCAACTTACATTATGTATGACACGTCAACAAATGCAGATTTTCAAGTCTACCACAGACACTGATTAAAAATGAGGTGTGGTTGGGTTTTTTTGTGGGGGGTGGGGTTGTTTTTTGTTTGTTTTTTTTTTAACACAACAAAAAGCAAAAAAAAATTCTTCACACACCTAAGGAAATAAGCCTATGTGAGGACAGCGTCTAGTGGAGCATGTTTTGATACATAACTGTCAACATAACTGTTTTCAAACTCTCCAGATACTTTCTAGAAGAGTCCACTGATGAAAATTTTAGCTTTAAACAAAAATGTGAAAGAACCAAGAATGTAGAGGATACATCTTTTAGTATCAAATGAAGAGTAACAAACATTCAATGTGTGCTGAGATCCGACTTACACGTGCAATACCAACATATTATGAATTAAGGAACAAAGATATATAATACAGATGTTAATTGCTTTTCTGCTTTGCTCTATTAACCTAAAAGAGAAGTAAACACATTTCACATACCAATTTCAATCTTGCTGCCAGTCAGACTAAAGGAAACTCTTAAAAAAAAAAAAAAAAAAAGAGAAACACTCTCCATACACATCTGATTTCTCTAAATCATGTTAACAAGAGCCTGAATCGCAAATTTTCTTCACCTCTCCCATACACCCATGAGAAAGCATTTTATAGCACCATGCCAGTCAATCCACCATTCACCAACTACTTCTGCAATCACTGACTAGCTATCACCAACCAGAAAAGAGGGCTTAAGTTCCTTCTAAAAAAATCAGCAGCCTAGAGGCAGGGAGGTGGAAAGCTGCTGCCTGATATCCACTTAAGAGGGAAGGGCTGGGAGACCTCAGGCATCACCTAACTGCTTAGCAGCAGCACTAACTGGCTACCGGCGCTATACGCTGGCTGACCTGTCAGGGCACACACAGCTTGAAACCAGCCACAGCTTCATTTGCTTGCCAGTGCAGGGCATGGGTTTTAAGGGATATGGGACACAAATCCGCAGCAAAACTACTCATCATTAGTTCATTTGCTTATGGAGCAACTTGTTAGTTCAAGCATGAACCAAGAGCTAGCTCGTTCCCGTTTGTAACAGTAAAAAGCACAAGCAACAGCTGGTAATACCTAATATCCCTCCAACCACAATACGAATGAATTATTGGGCACATAATTCAAATCCCTACCAATTCAAAATAACCTGGGACTTAAGAAATACTTAAAAAAATAATAACTGCTTCAAAACAAAGAACGTGTCTTCCTTCATGGGCGAATTAAGTCTAGCGCAGCCAAAAGTGAGAGTTCTCAGTTTCGCACTCCTGTTCTGCTCCTCTGCTCCAGCAGGCTTCCAGCACTTGTGTTACTGAAAGCTAACCCAGCAAAAAAAAAAAAAAATCCAAGCCAGTATTTTTTCTTCTGTTTTGGTGAATTTATCAGCTTACTGTACACTAGACAATCACAAGAGCCAACTCGGGGCAAGTGGGGAACAGAAAACAAAACATATCCCTTACAATTATGGCACAGTGGTAATGTGGCTGAAAGTGCAACATGAACATCGTAGGCTAAAATCTTGCCAAGAGCATAACTGATATTCCAGGATTTAACATACAAATTAGGAAGTTACAGCTGAGAAATTAAACTTTACACCTTACAGCAGGATTAGAATAATAAATACCAGTAGCTACTGTATAGTTAGTCCATGGGATGACTGGCAGAAGCTCATTTGCCATAAGACTGGGTCAAGTTCCTTGGAAAAAATGAGAGGTAATTTCTTTCTATTTGTCTCGACTTTCCGCTTTGCTGCTGGGCATCTTTGTTTCAATCTCGTTCACAGTGCTATTTTTTGAATGGACTGAAACAGATAGATCTGTCATGAACAGCATGACATGCATATTGAAACAAGTATCAACAGATGCGCCAAGGACAAAGTCTACGTACAATAACAAAAGCTGTGAATACATAGTACTAATTAGTCTGAACAGAGGTCTGCATATTAGAGCTTCAGCCATGATTTGATTATTCCTAGTAAGTATTAACAGATCTTCTAATTCCGTAATAAAGTTAAATACTGAAGATAAGTATAGGAAAAAAATTAGACTACGGGGGGAGTGACAACGTGATGAGTGTGTGTCATCTCATTTTAATTATAAATATTCTGCATAAGCATAGCATGCCATTTTAGTTTCCACAGCTTCTTATGCAGCCATCACAGTGATAATAGGCATGCACAGTACAGTGCAAGCTTGTTAAAAGACATTTTTCAGGCAAAACCTAATTTGCTGTCATTACCTAATCTCAGGGCTGGGAGGGGTTCTCTCAGGGTCTAGGAATGATCTGAAAAACATTTGTACAAACCAACTTTCTGTATGGCTTGTGAACATTAAAATCTCAGTCTTAAAGAACAGAACTTAAATCCATAGTTAGACAAAGCAATATATGACTGGACGCCCCTGTCATCAACATCAGACAATTCGTACCATATCGTCCTTTTAACGAACATTTCAAACTCCTACTTAAGACTACTCAGGGTCCTAAAACCGGTCTTGTACTAAAAAAAGCTCCTGAATTTTCAGAAATATTGCACATCTGCTTTCCAATGAGACCTGTTGTCCTTCTTTATGACTAGCTATCTTATTTACCTTTAAATGCAAAGCCAAAGTTGCTAAGCATAATGATCAGGTGTTCTTAAACATCAATATGTGCATTTTGTTCCTCTTAATTACTTTTGAGAAATGTCCAGTCAGACACTTGTATTATTTTGAAGGAGATCTGGATGTCACTTGTATCACTCTCTCATACATCTGCGTAAGCCTCAGCTTCCTTGCTGTCCCCTGGTTCAGGGAAAAACGTCAAATACTAATTTACCTGCCACTTAAAATACCGAGAAAGTTCGGGTTAAACTATATAGAGGATGATCACACGACAACTCCTACCTAACTTAACTTTACATAACTATGAAGTAAGGCCAGGTTGTAAGGTGTATGGGTTGAGACAGAGTAGATGTGTGACGGTTACAGCTTTAAAACGGGAACTCTGTAATGCATTTTTACCTCAAGAGTCATGCTTTTACCAGAAGAAAAAAAAAAAAGGGGGTGGGGGGTGGGAGGATTTTTCCAGAAAAATAGCTGAGCCAGACAGAAACAAGAGTCAAAGGGAACACTGAACAGAGCACTGCTTGCAGAGCTGTCTTCACGCTGCAACTGCCAGAAAGCACTCATGCTATGGCTCTTACAGGAGGGCCAGTTGAATGCCACACTGGTTACTTATTTCTTCAGTACAAGTTCTCTAGCAAGCTTCAGTCCCCCACGTTTTTACAGCTACATCCTACAATATTTCAGCAAGACATTAAGATTGTATGGTAGCACAATCAAGGAGGAGTAAGCACGTCCACCCTAATTAGCTGAAGTTCAATGCAGTATTTTCAAATACTCTCACAGATCTCGTTCAATAAAGGTGTTTAAAAAAACCAACCTGCCAAATATATGCATATATACTTGCTGAATGAGTTCTAAAGAGAGGTTGTAGTATATCTAAGGAAAGCATCACAAGCTTTAAGCTAAAAAAAAAATGGATGTTGATTTCTTACCATCATGAAACTTACCTGTGGACTTAATACCACATGAAACTGTTTCATTGTATGGGGGGAGCTGTACAAAAAAGAAATGAAACTTATTTAAAGACAAGGCAACTCTATTAACATTTGATATCAGTCTCATTTCAAACATCTGAATCCTTTAAAAGTAATATCATTATTAAGGTTTGATTTTCTGAGAATATGTCTTGAACTCATGCTTCTATATTTATCAAATCCCACAGCGCAGCTTCAAGTGTCCTTGCAGATTACCACAATTACTGAAAGATAAAGATTATCTTGGTTACACACCATAGGCTCATCAACTTCTCAAGCAGTTCACCTCACAGCATCAGGATCTTCCTTCATCAACAGTAACTCACCACGATTTTAAAATGAGGAACATAGCCTCTTTCTAGACAAAAACTGAAGACAGACCACATTACCTGTGAAAGGACGAAACAAAGTTTTGCACAAACAGTCACACCTAAATCTTCTGACTCTCAGCCTGCTTCAGCTACAGCGTTGCCCTTGAAATGTTTCAGCTAAGGTGTATTCTTACTCACATTTAACAAAAACAAAATTTTTTTTATCAGCAGCCTAAGCATAAAGTAACCACAGCATATAGTTTCTATCTGGATTGTAAATATGTCTAGTATAATACACTGGCATCATTTTATGGTTGACAGAACCCCTGCTGTTGTGTAACCACAGGTGGGCAATTTCTAATCCCTCCTCGCCTGCCCCCTGCTCCCCCAGCAGCCGAAAGCCTTCTCCTGTGCCTGCGTGGACTGGTAGCCATTGCTACGCTGCAGTCCAGCAGCTCCCTGGAGAACAGCTGAACTGCTTCTGCAGTGGGAGATAAACCTTTGAGAGTACAGTGCAGTTTCACAACGCTATTCTAAATATTAATTATAATGGTGTAACAAACATCAAAGACTTATCCATTGAAGTCTTCAGTTCTCTAAAGCTACAGATACTTACATACTGCCTTCTTAAAGCACTGTAGACAACAGTGCATCGGAAGTGGCAAGAAAAATATTCCTAAAATTCCATTATAAAAAATGCATTAAAAGAACACATACTGTAAAACCCATTTATAAACCATAACACATCTTAATACATCAACTTTCCAGGTCAAAAATGGGAATCAATGGGTCAGAAAGAGGTTCCAAGCTGTTAAGAACTTATTATCCATATTAAGATTGAACACAGATTCAATATCATTTTATAGTTACAGCTAATAAAGTTACTCTTAAAGTCTACTATCAACAGTTTATGATAAATCTTGTAATTCTTGTTTTTCTCTAACTCAAAGGGTTTAAGAAAATACAAATTAAAAAAGAAAATAATAAAAAAAAAGTAGTCTACCTATTGGTCCCCTACATATCTGGTTAATCAACAACATCTTTGTGAAGTAGCGATTTCTGAGCTGACCTGTTTCATACAACTGGGTCATTTGAATCATCTCAGTCAAGAGATATCTGATAGAACTTGTATTAAAAATGCCATGTATAAAGAGACATTCTAGACAACTTTTAGCTTTAACTAGTCCCCTACCTCAGTCCACCCTTTAGTCTATAGATAAGGGACTTAACTGGCACTGCCCCAACAGAATGTATGTCAAACACCACTGCAGTATTATAATCTCAGCCCTGTCCTTCTTGAATTTCACCCTATTTTTTTCAGACCACTTCTCTCTGAAGTATCTGCACAGTATAAAACTAATGATAATTAAAACATCGAACTGAACCAGATCAAGGACAAACTTAAGGAACATTGTTCAACACAGTTTTTTATTTTGATAACTAACTAGTAAGTGGTACACTTGAGACAGTTATAAAATGAAGTAAGACTGGTTCGAATGCTGTAGGTTCATGTTTCCTCAACACTTTGTGAGAATAGCTTTATAGAAGTCAAGACATGATATGTTCATCTTCCACAACGTAAGCGTTAGAATAGCTGATGTAGGACACTTCAGGTGACACTACATAGGATGCAAACGTCATACTGCTGCTACTGTAGTTAACGGTGGGAAAACAGCAGTGTAATCAGAAGGAACATGGATTACCTGAAGATCTCTTCTGCACTACTTTCCCCCTACCAGAGAATCACAGAATCATAGAATCATTTAGGTTGGAAAAGACCTTTAAGATCAAGTCCACCACTACACCATGTCCCTAAGCACTGCATCTACGCGTCTCTTGAACACCTCCAGGGATGGGGACTCAACCTCTTCCCTGGGCAGCCTGTTCCAATGCCTGAC